GGTTTCCCCCCCGACACTGGCATTGAGCGAGCGCTTCCTCGCGAGCCCCCCTGGCCTGTGCTGGCTGCCGGGCTGTGCCAGTGCCAACCACTGAATCCCACAGCTGCTTTAGATGGTGGCCTACCTGCAGCAAGGACCGGCTCTTTGCTGCTCGTTCGTACCCTCGGAGTGGAACTGCTCCAGTCATTCTGGGGTATAAATAGGATTATTGTTAATAATTATGGTAAATAATCAGACTCAGCAAATGTGAGTCTGACTCAAAAACTGAGCCCGGAGTTTGTATTTCACCCTGGTGCCAGCCCGTGGCTCCCACTGGCCCCGTGACAAGAGCCCTGCACCCACGTGTCCCCACGTGGGGACGTGGGCAGACACACATCGGAGGCAGTCCCATCCCCCCCACGTTGAACCCTCTAGAAGATGCTGAATACAGAAATCAACTCCCCCAGGAACCCGGCTCAGGCGTCTCCACATCCCGGCGTGACTCGGGACCGTTTGGCACAGCCGGCCGGGGCAGCGGCGAGACAAAGCAGGGCGACAGGGCGCAGCAGGACCGGGGCGCCATTGCCGTTCCCTGTTTTCTCATAGGAAAAGCTGCAAGGACCACTTCGCCAAAGCCCACCGAGCTGCAGCAGCTTTTTCTGATGGTGGTCAGAGGGCTGCTGGGGCCCCCCCTGGTTTGGGGGGCCTGGTTTGCAGGGCGGGGCGGGGGGGCACGTCTTGTCCGCGGGGGGCCAGGGTCGATGCATGGGGTGGAAACCGTCGTCCTCGGCTGCGCCGGTGGCGATTCAGGGGACCCTCCCTGCCCCGACCCCCCAGGACAGGGGGACAGCTGGGACTGAGGGGGCGTTTTGGGTGGGGGCTGAGTCCGACCTGGGGTTGTTCCAGGAGGTTTGCAGCAGGGAGAGGGACGAACGGTACCAACACATAGGGGCTCGTCCCTGCCTGCCCCCTGCTCCCCGCTCCCCCCGCCGGATCCTGCGCCGGGCGGCCGGAGTAAGTGATGCTCCCGCGCGGCCCTGCCTCAGCCTCGCGGCCCAGCCCTCCTCTTCCTCCCTTCCACAGGCCCCACCGGGGCTGCCCCCCCGGCAGGCAGGCCCCCTGCCCCAGAGATGGGGGGGGCTATAGAGGGTTTTAGGGGACCCTGTTTCCTCCAGGGTGGGGATGACACAGGGCAGGAGGCTGCTGGGATGTGAAGTCCTCCACGGCCCCACACTGCAAACGGTGGTTGGGCCTCCCCATTATGGGTCTTTACAACCCCTGTGGTCCTTGGGGTGATTTTTCCTGTAAATCACAGGTTTTTAGGAGTCCTTGCACTGCAGAGCTTGGGGCGGGGGGGAAGCAGTCAGAGCCTCTGTTTTTATTTTAATGAAAAAAATTGGCTTTGGAAACTCTGGGGATTTAGGAAACTCCTTCCTGCGCCTTCCAGCCCTTCCTTGGGACTGGGAGGGGCGCAGGGTGGCAGCACCCCGGCAGTGGGTGCTGTGCAAGTGGGATGCTCCCACTCAGCCCTGCCGGCAGGTGGGAGCTGGGCCAGCTCAGGCACTCACTGGGGTGCTCCGAAGGGCTCTGGGTGCTCAGAGGGGCTCCGAGGGGCTTGGGGACTCTGAGGGGCTTCAGTTGCTCTGAGGGTCCTGGGAGGCTCCAAGGGGCTCGGGCTGCTCTTAGGGGCCATGTGTGATCTGACAGGCTCATGGTGTTCCCAGGAGCCCAGGGTGCTCCGAGGAACTTGGGGTGCTCAGAGGGCCCTGGGATGCTCCAAGGGGTCCAGGGCTTCCCAAGGAGCTCAGGGTGCTCTGAGGACCCCAGGATGCTCCGAGGGCACCTGGGTGCTCCAAGGGCTCCAAGATGCTCTGAAGGCCCCCGGGATGCTGCAAAGGCCCCGGGATGCTCCGAGGACCCCGGGATGCTCCAGCC